TTGTTGATAATGACATAAACTCCCTTGAGATCACTGAATTTGACACTTTCGAATGAAGCTCTGTAGCGTCGCTTCCAAATGGCGATATTTTACTGCTTTTCCTAACAGGTTTATACAACAAGAGAAGAAACGCCCAACTAATATTCATTGTGCCGCAGCATGTTCGGATCGAAAACATACAGTATTCACAGAGGCGCGAGCAGGAAAGTTTAGCTGTCTGCATTCTGTTTATGTTGCTAGCGGTGCAGAAAGTAAAAACACAAAAAAGACGCACAAGCGTGAGCTGCTGCCATTTGGTACTACAGCAGTGAGAACCTTCAAACACGATACATTTAATTTAAGCAGATAGTTTTTGCAGCAGCACTAGATAAATTGGCTTATATTTATTATGCAATTTTTGAAAGCAAGCTGGTAATTTTCTTTTATTAATCGCAATAAACATTCCCAATTAGCTTTTAAAAAAGTATACTGAGGATGTAGGTTGTGCTCGCAAGACTACTCTGCTTTATAAAGAATACTTGTACCACTGTTTAAACGCACACTTCTTAAAGTATGCCTCCCATCACATCGAGTGAATTAACCTGCTTTTCTGAACTGTATAACACATAAAAAAGGCTTGTTTTGACATGGCGTATATTCAGTCATCTCGGAGATTTTACGCCGTTGAAACAATATAGCCTCTCCCACCGTCATTGTTACTACAACGTAAACACAATTAATTACAGTCAAGTCGTTTTGGGGGTCGGCTGCGTGCAGCATCTTAGGAAATTGTGCCAGCTTCTTACTTAAATCACTATCGGGGAGGAAAAAAATAGACGCTATTTAGCAAGCTTGCGCACCAAACTCAATACTGTGACAATCTTGTATTGTTGCAAAAAAGAATAAATAAATAAAGTTCTGATTCAGTGACGCTGTGCATGCCTTATGCAATCTCCTCACGGCAACAAGCTATGTGCCAAAATGCACGTTTCAATGTAAGCCACAGCGCCCGTTCATCCATGTACAAGACTGCTCTTTGTCAATAATTTCAGAAGTTGTCATACTCTGAAAAGAAGGATTTTCGTGGTGCTATGAACATCTCGAGACGGACGCGAGCAGCAATCGTACTGTCTACTACATTGTGCATGCACGCACCAGCCCCACATTCCCGACTCTGCGTCAGTGCATGCACGCCCACTGCGTAGATCATACACAACGTGCGTGGAACGCGGACGCGCGCACAATGAACGCTGCGGTAGAAATAATCCATTAGCTCGTTCGCGCAAGAGGCTCTCGACAAACCATTTGTCACAGTTAGCGACAACACCTTTGGAGGTTTTGAACGGCCACGACATCTGAAGATGGCGTAAATCAGACCGAGTTTCCAGGAAGAAAAGAGGAGAGAACAAAGGCATTCTGAACACTTTTCTATTGCACAGCGAGCCTTCCTGAGCACAACAATAGTAACGAAAGACAAATCTGAACACAGAGCAGCCGCAGAAAATACGTTGCGAAATATGAGAACCGCGGATCATATAGCTTTCTTCATAAATATTCAACGTATCTCGGCTGAGACAATCAACTACATTGTGCACGAACAGTAAACGGCGGACTATATAACATAAGCCTTACGTATAAAAGAGGCCGACTGATAACAGAAGCACGTGATAGGAGACAGCGGCGAAGACGAACTGACGCGCGACCGCACGCCGCACTTTGCTGGGAGCCGCTCAGTAAGGCACTAAATGTGTAGCTCGGGAATCGAAGTGAGACACGAATATCGGTCGTTTCAACAAGCGTCGCAGGCGTTACAGACAGTCGCCGTTCGTTGTGCAAGCAGGCGGTTGCTTGCGCGGTGTAGCGTAAGTCGCTCACATCAACGCTTTTAAGCGAGTGAAAAAAACAAACAAAAAAACAACAGACACAATCGAGAGAGGCGTTTCTGTTGGGTACATGTTATCTAGCGAAAAAAATAATACACACATGTGCACGCAAGCGGCAACTATACAGACATACACGAATGTTTTCATCTTCCATCGTTTCTATAGAGCTAATTTCAGTTGCAACTATATTAGACGAACTGTAACCCTACGAACTTTCTGTCGTCCGCAATGTATACAAAATGTACGTACCTCGATATTGAGGCGTGTTTGAAGCCACACTCGACCGCTTAGGGATTCGAAACTGCGTGCTGAAGTCATCGCAATTCTGGCGGCCATAATGTCGCAGTGTTGCAAGCCATACCAGCCACGCAGATTACATGCGCATCATGCGCATTCTGCGTTGCAGTCACAGTGCGCTGCTACGCTGAAACGCTGTCTTTGTGCCGGCCCAATTTGAAGTGGCTGATCTCTTTTTATATATTCGAAATAGCAAAACATTGAAACAAACATGCATTTCACAATAAACTGAGTACTATAGCAAGTATGCCAAGGTCCAATTGTCATCATGTTTGCCCGTTAGTCTCATTCACACGTCATATAAAATGTCGTTCGCGTAGCGTATCGGAACAGGGGACAACATAACGATATAGTAACAATAATTTCGGGCTGCGAGTGTGTGTGTCTCGTCCTGCGTCGGAATGCAGTGCGCCGATGGCCTGTCAACAATGCTCTTGAACGTTTGGCTGACGCGTTTCTACTAACTGGAAAAGCTGTTTGAAAGAAAGCGACACATAACCGTCTTTACAATTCCACAGGCTCGCGTGGCACCGTGCTGTACAAGTTGAATGACATTCAAATGGCCCAGAAATTCCTCGCAAGAGCGGGTCACGAAACTCCTCACTGGGCTTACCGGGTCGCTTGCCACCGCCCAGCATAACATCGGCAGTCGGTGTCACAAGCCGCGACCGGCGCCCATAGAAAAGCAGCACAGTATCCGCCTTTGTGTCCGCAACCGATAAAGCAGCCGGAAGACAAGCCGGCTCACCCCTTTCTCCTAAGCACTGCTATCTGCGGCACCTATGGGATTGCCGGTCTATAAGAACGCCCGCGGCGGGTCGAGGACGATTTGTTTAGGGGAGCCGAAACCCAGGGTCGACCGATTTGCAAGCCGCCTTCTGTTTCTTCAGTCGCCGCCGACGAGACGCGAGCAGCGGACCGAGCGACGGGCGCGCCACCAGCGGGACCCAGACTCGGTGGCGCCGTCGGAGCCGTTATTCAGGGGCGGCCGGCTTCGAGGACGAGCAGTCGTGTGCGTACACTGCTCCCCCTAGTGGAGGTCAGTGTGTGCGTATAGCCGCGCCGGCGCCCGACTGTACGAAACGCATCCGCATCGTCGCGCTCCGCAAAGGACCGCATCGCAGCGAGAAGCGCGTTTGTTATGACGGACTGCTTTCCCGACTGCGCCAATTCGTATATACACTACCGCGGGTGAGCCAAAAGCGATAACTCGGAGCTCTTTGTTTTCGTGTGGTCCGCACACCGTATATCCTCCGTTCGCTCGGGTATGGGCCGTTCGTTGCTTACTCCTGGCACCACTCTGAGCTCGTTCTCGGCACGGCTCAAAGGCAGTGTCTATGTGAGGGGACGCCATCTCAGAGCGCACATTTTTTTTTCAACCTAGCCGTATCTTTGCTTTGGGTTTTGCTTTCGTACCGAATCCATTTAGCGCACTGTTCGCTCCACCGCGAAGAGAATGAAGAAAAAAGGGCTTGGCAGGCAGAGCACAAACGCGTACACGGGTTGCCAGACGGACGGACGCCACATTTACCCGAATCAGACGACCTACCTCGCACTCTCGCAGTTAGGGGGCGCGCACGTACGCGCGTGCGTACTTCTGCTCCCGTTCACACACACACACACACACACACACACACACACACCCACACACACACACTCACACACACACACCCACACACACACACTCACACACACACACACTCACACACACACACACACTCACACACACACACTCACACACACACACACACACACACACACACACACACACACACACACACACACACACACACACACCTCTTTGGCGGCGCTTGTGCTGCTTCTGTTTGGGCATTCTCGTTATGTTTCGCTGGCGATAACCGTAATAATAAGAGGGCAGCGGAAAGGGAGGAGGGAGCCGGAACGGATGAACAGGGCGCAGTTATGGTAATGCGCCTTCCGCGCATCCATGCGTGCCCGCGATCCCAATGACCCCGTGCTGTTTGCGCTCGCCAACGACGACTGCGCTGCTGCGGAGGCTGCTTACGTGCGGCACCTGCACAACGGCATGCTTATCGGCCAGTACACACCATATGCGTGGGCATCCCGGAGCGGCGCGGCTGGTGCGGCTTTGTGCGCCGCGTGAGGAGATTCATTTAGCCGGAAGTGCCACTATAGGGTGGTCTCATTTGAATAGCCTAACGAGCGGCACCGAGGCGCCTTTGACGGCTAGAGCCGCGTGCGCCAACGAAAAGAAGGTTGACGCACTTACAGGCTATAACCTCGTTTTGCCCCTCCAGAATGTATACATTTTATCTAACACCACCAGCTGAACTGCAGGTGGGCGAAATGGCTCGCGCACTCGGGTATCAGATGTGGAGCGTGGTGATGATTTGCACTGAAGGTTCTTTCTGAGGCACTACATGTGACGGGGCAGTACGTGTTACATGGGTAGACCAGTAGGGTTCTCTGAATATGCTGAGTATTAAAGCATTTAACGCCACTTGCTGTCGCTTTACGCTAAAGCGACGTTCTTTAGTAGTGGAATGTGCACAACAGGCGAGTTGATTTTGATAATACCGCGACTACGTCTCCGAAAGTTAGTATATACTGAAGAACGGGTACTATGTGAGCCGGGATTGAATTATTCTGGAGTGAATACATGAGAATACATTTGTTCTCACATGCACACGTTTGCAAAGAGTGCAAACGATTCGAAAATATTTTCATGACGAAAATATACTTGCACAGGTCTAATTATATGACACGACATTTTATACACTTTGTGGGCGGTATTTAGAGTGTCAAGTTCAGTAGCGCCCGCGTAACAGCGACCGAGCGCCGGAGCTATCAACGTAAGACTTTTTTTAAGAGAGAACGAACACAACGCTTTTTTATTCAGCTTAATGAAACCGGCTGAAGTCCACGTATGTTTTGATTATAACCAGCTTAACGGGCAGCAACGAACAAATAACAAAACACAGGACAAACTACATATCATTTTTTTTTTTTTCATCAGGATTACATTCTACGTATACATTTGCACCTCAGGACACGTTCACAGCAGTCACTTTACTTTTTTTTTTTGTGAGTATACGTATAGTGCCCGAAAAGGCTGCAAGGCATATATGAGCGAAATACGAATTCTAAATAACTGACAACATTTAAAAATAAAATCTCTCGATCGTCCTATACTGCCGCAAAAATCAACACGACTGAGCTGCGGAAACACTAGCAGCCATTGAATACAAAAAGTGTCATGAGAGAAGCTGGCGCAAAAGAAATGCCCGTTGCACATGTTCCTCCTTGCTTCTTTTTTTTCTCTTTTTTTATCCGCTCACTCAAAGCAAGCGCGGCATTACGACTACGAGAGGTACATTCTCTCAGTCTATGAGGCGGTAAGACATGACACGACGTGAATGCAAACGATTGACACACTGTGCCACTTTGGTGATGCCGCGATCACTCCTTCTTCGAATGCTTAAGGCACTCGGTCGTGGGAGACGGAATTAAAAAAAAACAAGCAAAAACGGGACAGTCTCACAACAAAGGATTGCACGAATGATTGGCATGAGAAAAAAAAACGAACAATAAATCCAACAAAAGTTATAGAGCTTTGTATTGCTATACCTTTTTGATTGTATGTCTTATTGCATTGGGCTTCACGCTGACTCCCACTGGAAGCACGCTGACCCGCCGTGCACGCTACAGAAGGCTTACGCATACACGCTACAGGCACACACTGTGTACAGCACTCTTAAATAGCGTCTATTATATAAACGACAAAGGCACCTTAGGACTCGATATAGCGGTCTCTAGATGACGAAAAAGGGGAGATCTGACGATGGGTGTACGAATGAGGTGATCACTGGACGGACTCCGCAACCTTTCATTTGTCCAGAATGAAAAAATTATCTGTTGAAAACAAAACAAAGTTCTTGACTCGACGGCGAAAAAAAGAACATGAAGGTCAGCAAACTTTACGCGCACTTTTTGCACGTCCACGTATGCAAGGCCGGATATAGCCGGCCCTCCGACGAAGCACGGTTTCAGGTGCGCTTCTTCGTCTCGGGAGATGTTCGTGTGCAAAGAAACAACGTCACGCGCGCGGGAGCGCTCCGCAAGATGGCGTTGGCGACGCACCCTTGACGTCCACGACGCCCAGCGCCAGCGAGAGAGGGCGCTGCGACGTGGCGGGCGGCTCGCGAGTGTCGAGGTCGTCGTAAGGCTCGTCGGGGTTCAGAATGACGTCGTCGTCGTCCTCCTCCTTGTCGCTGTCGTCGCTGTCGGCCAGTTCTGTCCTCGGCGCTCCGTCCGAGGACCTCCCGCCGCCGCCGGTGCGAGTCGAAGTCGCGGAGGAAGACGACGACGAAGACTGCGGCAAGGCGGCGTCCGCGCTCGAGGGAGTCTGCTTGCCGGAGTGCTTGGCCTCCAGGCGCGCCTGTTCGTTGATCTCCTTGACGGCGCGGAGCTCCTTCTTGAGCTTCATGCGCCGGTTCTGGAACCAGATCTTGATCTGGCGCTCGGTGAGGCACAGCGCGTGAGCGATCTCGATGCGCCGCCGCCGCGTCAGGTAGTGGTTGAAGTGGAACTCCTTCTCGAGCTCCAGGGTCTGGTAGCGCGTGTACGTCTGCCTGCCGCGCCGCCTGGGACAGCCGTTGGGACCTGAGCAATGAAAGAAATAATAAAATTCTGGTTATAAGAGGCATGCGGAGAATAAAATATTCGTGTCATGAGTCCGGGAAGCAGAGCCCCATAAAAGACGCACTCGCACACACATCCAATTCATATCCATTCATCCATCCATCTAGCTATACCTATCAACCTACATACCTAGCCAGCCATCCACCCACCCAACCTACTCAATCACTCATTTATCCATCGAGCCCCCTCGCCCCTAATGAAAGAGATCAATTCTTAACCTAACATTGCTCGTAGCAACAAGTTGTACGCAGTTGTGATACTTGGCTGATTATCAGAGGAAGTATTTGTCTAATGGCAAACACAACTTCGAGAGTGAGACATGTCGTTGTGGGCAAGCACACTTCCCCGCTTTGTGTATGCTCTATCTCTGCATTACCTTTCTTTCGAAGTCGTGCATATCAGAGATACACGACATGGTTCGTCGCTTTAAAACAGCTTCAATTACACATGACACTGTAAAGTTGTTACCACTTTTCTTTCTTTGACTTCTTCAGCTCTGACAAACGTTATACTAACCAATATCAGGTTATGCGACAAGCATAATCTGAATACAGAAAGACTGTTTCATTTTTGCAAGGACGCCAATGAAATCAGAGAAATTATTTTGTGCGTTCCCCACACCTTTACGCACATATATCACGTAAAAACTCGGAGGACGGTTCAGCTTCGCCTTCGAGAATAGCAAAGCGATATAGCGTAACTGGACCTCGTGCTCGGAGCGTTCAACCGTTCTGCGGGCGCGAAACTTTGTCCGTTTCAAACTGTCCTAAAACTCACACTCTGCGAGTACAGTTGCGAAGTGCCAACTACGCCTTATTTGCTCTGTTTTTGTGATTTGGCGAAGTACCCACAACGCGTTCATGAATTGCCACACGTATAGCTGCACACTTTGTGGGGAGTTTGAAGCACTCACTTGTAGAGCGACTCCCGTATGTTTTGAAGCACAGGGCGATTCTTTCGTACGTAATATATATATATATATATATATATATATATATATATATATATATATATATATATATATATATATATATATATATATATATATATATATATATATATATATATATATATATATATATATATATATATTACGTGCGTCAAGGAGACTCCGAGACTCCCTACCCAGCATGGCATTCATAAATGGTGTTTTTACAAGTACACTTCGGAGCACTGGCGTGGCTCCAATGTTAGTACACCTGCTTACCACGCAAAAGGCCCGGGACAACTGATTGTTGCTCGAACCGAATTTCTAATATTATTTATTTATTTTCATACATCTCGCTTCGACGCTCACGGACAACGCTGATTTTTTGCTCACAGCCAACGCCGCCGCCGCCGCCGACACCTGAATTTCTACTAAACGAGCTCTTTAACGCGATACCATTAAAATAAAGGGCACCAATATTTTTTCTTGAGAGTGACCCACTCATTGCTTGTCAGATAGGAGAAAATAGTCGGATAGGACAAAACCAGTATAATGTCTCGTCGATGCAGGAATTCTTCGCGGGGCCCATTTCGATTGCAACGCAATAGAAGCAACGGTAATTCATGCAAGCAGTAATACACGTGCACGCACAACAAAGGCGAATTCTACATTTGAGCCTGCGTGCGATTGCATCGCTGAAGTGATGGTGCCGCGTCCTCTTTAAGTTAATGCGTTCAGTCTCGGATACAACTATAAGGCTCTGCGCGAGCACAATTAAATAAAAAACTGCGCACTTTGACGTCACAAAGAACAATAATACGCGTTGCACAGGGCAGTTTTTCTATTTCGCCAAGCAATCAGAGGAACTCGCCCCGCCACGGTGGTCTAGTGGCTAAGGTACTCGGCTGCTAACCCTCAGTCGCGGGATCAAATCCCGGCTGTGGCCGCTGCTTTTCCGATGGAGGCGGAAATGTTGTCGGCCCGTGTACTCAGATTTGGGTGCACGTTAAAGAACCCCAGGTGGTCGAAATTTCCGGAGCCCTCCACTACGGCGTCTCTTATAATCAAATAGGGGTTTCGGGACGTTAAACCCCACAAATCAATCAATCAATCAATCAGAGGAACTCATTCGGGCGGAATCGTAAATAACAGCTATATGGTTCGTAATTTTCCTCGAGAAGAAAAGACGTGGTCTCGAGGCTCGTTATCGCGTGCCTTAGAAACACACAATTCACCGGTTGTGATGTGCGAGCACTTCTATGTGTACATTTGGAATGTGAATAGAGTGACATTACCTGAATAAGAAATATGCGCACCGACACTTCTGCGGCGGAAGGCTGAACCGTTTTCGCGTTTTTTTGTGAAGCGGCGAAATTACCGGCGAATGAAAACCAGTCATTGCGCGCGCTTATAAAGCACGTTTACGACGCGGTTCTTACGACATGTGTCTTTTTTTCTGCGACGCTTCGTCATTCGCCATTAAATGGAGTCGCCGCCGGAGGGGAGTGTTAAATGAAACCGTGTACATTTTGTACCCAGTTTCGCCCATCTACCCAGGCTGACTCATACGTTCGTACACGTTTATAGGCGTTTTGTGAGCTTTCGTGCACCTGCATCGGGCTGAATTTCTCGATGAAGTGTGGGCTCGGAATAAATTGGCGTGTCTAATAGTGGCTCCGAGATAAACAAAAAACTGAAATTTGTTAAGGCACGTTGCTGGACAATAGTTGGTTAGTATCCTTGTAATTACACGGAGCTGCGCAACATGAGAACGACTGACTATGAGAAGACACGTAATAATATATGGAACTATACGTCCCCAAAACTACGATGTGGTTATGAGTTCACAATCATGGTGGTTCGGGTGTGCTGGTATGACTTGATCAATAAAATCCAAGCGTACAGTGTTCTATATAAGCGTGTTTTTTTTTTCTCCTCATCTGTATATGTGCGCTTAGGACTTATTGATTGTGAGAGAAGCAGTAGTTGAGGGATCCGAAAATTTGGAGCACCTGCAGTTCTTTAAGGTGTAATGACATCGCACAATACACAGGCCTCTAGCGTTTCAACTGCATTTAGAGTACTCGCTTTCACCGCTAACTTTCAGCTACGGCCCTTTGTGATCGGATGTATCATCTATAAAGCAACAATATCGTTATAATACGATCGTAAATAAACGCTTAGTTTAATGTTCGCGCTGTGTGCGTGTTCTTATTTACTCAGTGGCGTTGCGCAGCTGCATGTAATCCTACAGAAAAGTGAAAGTGTATATAATACAAACCTGAAAACAGGTGGAACGAATGCGGATAATCTTCGACGCGATGATGTAGCTTGTGAGCAGCGGCCCGGAACGCAGAACCTGCGGGAAAGAAAAAAGAAGACAACGTGAATAAGTTGATTCAGTTAAAGTGGCTCTATAGTGCATTCACAAAGAGGAGATTTTCGATTATTGGTGCACATGGAGATAAATTTAGATGTACCAAAAGTAAAGCGGGAATAGAGGGTGAGAGTAGTAAAAAAATGTGAAATGGTCTCACTTGGAGCGACATTATCACACAAAGTCCCCGTGAAATATCCACGTTCACTCAATACAGTTCTCTCTCCCTCTATTTCACTTTTTATTAGGTGTATCAAGATCCAATGGCTGTACTACATATGTGGACACTTCAATAAATCCTTTTTGAGTGCGGTAACATGATTGCAGCACTGTTTTCCGTGGTTGATAACAAAATTTTTCACTTGACCTAACAGTGCATTTTTGCCACGTCATAGGCAGTTTAGTAATCGCTCCCTGCCGATCCTTGATTTTATTCTCTCTCTCTTTAAACAAAAGGTAGACGACCCTTCGACTTTCACATAAGAAATAGTGCTGGTCATTTGCATATCCTTCAAAAGAATGCTGTGAAAGTTTTTCCATGAAGGGCCCATACGATGAAAAAAGAAAGCGAAATGAAACCCAGTGTTGCACATTGACAAAACATGCACTTCAGTTGCATCACAATTCTGAGATATGAAAATTTTGATTTCATCAAATGCGAGTTTATTAAACTTCCCATTTAGAGAAAGGCATTCTCCCAGGCATGTTAATGAGGGCTAAAATGACGATATGAATATAAAAATTGTGAGCCTTCCGAAGGTGAGAGACGAAGTCAGACATTTAAACATAGTAGTAGAGCGACATACATCCTTTAGCGATCGATATATTTCACGTTTGCAATCTTCCATCTCGGCCCATCAGAACTAACCGTAAAAACAATGGTAAAATACACTACAATACATATAGAATACTCTATAGCAGCTGATCAACAATGGACTTTATACACGACGCAAACCTGCATGTTTATTTTTGTATCAAACATTATTTTACCAAAAAGCATACTTTCGAAATAAAAAAATCAATGTTAATTATCACAAACGGTGAACGTCACTACTTAGTTGGTACGCATGGATTAAAATTTAAAAATTTACGTCGATAGCCGTGTAAACTAGCCCGACCTTGTTGGAAAACCACGACCTTATCTTCGTGAAACAATCTATATCATTTTAAGAGATTAGCAAGACAAAAGAAAAAAAATAACCATATTCGAAACAACGAAACAAATTGTATTTCGCGGTAACGGATTACGAATGGTCTAAAAAAAAAGTTCACCCAGCTGTTAGGCTTTTCAGGTTTCGCTCACACGGCCTCGTGCTACTCATGTGCAAGGTGTCATGCAATTATTCAGTTAGCATGCGCAAAAACGTGTCAAGCTCTGTCTGGCACAGACCTTCTCTAACTTTCCGTCAAACACCACGTTATTCAAGTACTGTTTGTACAGATGCGTTTGTTTTGTATAGCAACTCTTGGTACATTGGCCTTCCAATACAGAGAAAGGCCGGCAGAAAATTGAACCGAAACTTTGTTTAACTTTCATTAACACACTTTTTTTTACACTGCACTGCGCACTGAGCACGGAGATATGCCGCTATATTCGAAAATGCGTGTCTGTATAAAAGTTCTGACCACATACTAGACGGGTTTCAAAACTCAGACTAGAACCCAGAAATAGCCTCAATGACCTGACTTGTCTATACTAGCAGGGGGATGATTTTTTTCTTCAAAATTTTGTTGTCTTTAGGTTACGTGTAGCTGTTTATGCAATCACGCACTCCAATATTGCAGGTAAAATGAAACGAGAAGCCAAAGTTCCAAAAGATGGTCGCATGGTCATCTATGTGGACAGCAGTGACGCGGCTTGAAAGGCGGTGCAAAAATACCGCCCACAGCGTGGATCATGTGAGAAGCCGCGCAAGTAAGAATAGAAGAAGTAACAAGAATTATAGTGAACCTTTCAATAACATTTGTTGTACACGAAGTCACACAATTTTCTTTCATCAACTCTCATCTCGCTAATATGTACACTAAACAAACGCGCGACGTAAGTATAGTGTATATACGTTCGTGTCAGAAGCAAATTCGTGCGTGTATTCTGAAAGCACAAGGAGCACCACTCCGAATATTATACGCTACTTGGTAAAAGTTAGCTAATAATGCATATGTATACCGCATTGCTATTTTCGAGACGGCGGGTGCGTTTTTAAAGCCTGCGGCAGCCGCGTCTTTACGGCGATGAAATGCAAGAATGCTTATGTTAGCAAGACTTACCCCCGTATTCACAAACGCTCCTCGATTGATTGATATATGGGGTTTAACGTCCCAAAACCACTATATGATTATGAGAGACGCCGTAGTGGAGGGCTCCGGAAATTTAGACCACCTGGGGTTCTTTAACGTGCACCCAAAACACAAACGCTCCTCGACTTCCACCCTTCACTTGCCAGAGTTGAGCACTGCGCTACCGCTCGGCTGAAAATGACACTGCGCTACTCAAGAATCGCATCAGATTGTCGCTGATATGCAGTGACTTGCCGTGCCTAGAGACGGCGCTCCCATCGGCTTTCTCAAGTGAAAGTGAAGCGTTGAGTGAAGGGACGTCCTTGAATACGAGGATCAGGTGCATAAAAGAAGGGAATTTCGATGGCTCATTTCCGTTTATTTAACAACATTAATGAAAACCAGCAGACACTGAAGCCAAAGAAGGTATAAGCGACACTGATTCCATTGTTTTCTTTTAACCGTATCGTAGTAACTGTGACGTAGGAACAAATGAAGTAAAGTGGACGAAGAAACAACTTGCGGAGAGCAAACCTGATTCCTTTTGACGAACGCAGGCGGTCAACATTGATACGCAGTTCTGCATATCAACGTACATCACAATGACATCATGGTTTTTATTGGCAAAGCGCCAGACTTTATTGAGTGATTTGATTGATTTGTGAGGTTTAACGTCCCAAAACCACGATATGATTACGAGAGACGCCGCAGTGAAGGGCTCCGGAAATATCGACTGCCTGGGGAACGCTATAGACATTTTCACCTCTAATATTTCCGCCATGGTAACATGAGCCATATTAGAGACAGATCTTAACATGCATTTATATATGCATGGCCAACTGCATGATCACCATGAGAAAGAGCTCGAAATGAAATGTGGATAGGTTAATCTCATTAACTATAGCCAACTTGATGTTGCACACGAATGAATGGCTAAGAGTGTAAAAAGAAAAGAAAAAGTCGGGAAGCACACCAAACAAAAATGTTCGCACAAACCCGAGAAGCTCAGGTGATAGCGGCTACAGCTGTTCGTTCCGTACAGATGATAGCGAAACAGACACAAGCGCATATGACGAACAATAATGAGAAACCATCTAACATGATTTCTGTCACCGCGTGGTATACACCGGCTGTACACGTATCGAACGTCATATTAGCAAAAAAAAAAAATGAAACTACAAAACATAGGGAAAGCTAAACGCTGTTGGACTCGCTTCGGTGCTCCTGTTGCCACGCGACGCAACCACACGCTGTAAAACCAATCTGCCGCTTTCACTATAGATGCATGCACGGTAAGGTATTCACGGCAATAAAAACTGAAAAAAGGAATGCTACCCAAATTTAGATATGAGGATATATTAGGGTAATGGTACCATAAAAGGTATCATCACAAAGCAAAAAAAAAAAAGCTAACGGATAGCACGCAGTATAACAGACCACAGATATGTTAAATTTTGTTGACTATAGAAACGAGCGAGTTCAAAGTGCGTCGCCATATTGAAATATGTGAAGAATACAGCTCCGAAGCTTATATGGGGGCGTTTCGGCTTCCGTAGGCTACACAGTTCACGTGTACGGCGCGACAAAGTGCCATCCATGAAATCTCTTTTGTTGTTCTCGTTGTTACTGAAGCTGCAGTGTACACGCCTCAACTCAAGCATAGAAGAGGGACAACTCGTCTGCAATCCGAATTTTTCATTGTCCCTTCTTTTTCGCGTTAGAGCGCCTGCGGAGACCGGAAATTCGCGCAGCGTGAAGATGCTTATCAAAATGGCATCAAAAACAGGGACGGCGTTGTGCGTGGGTTAAAGATAAAATCGGCAGAATAAAATAAGAAAGGAGGGAACAAGAACAAACCAGGTGAAATTTAGATGGAGGCGCTCAAGTGCGGTGCCGTTAAATGTATACCTCGCTGCCCTATCTCTACAGTACGAAGGGAATTTCGTGGTGCAGGTGTTTTTATAATGGGCTGGGCAAATAGAGATGCCCAGACCGGAGAGTTAAAAATGGACTTCGTTTAATCGCGCGGACACCACTTTTCGCACGCACGTGTGACGCTGATATCGGCCTCCCGGGTGGTAACGGCGGCACTCTTATTCGGCGCTTGAAATATATATCTATGTAGCCTTATACTTACTGTTTGTGGGTACTGTTATGTGTTTCAAACCACGGAGCCAGTGACAACGATCTATGTAACGCTTCATGCTAGTTTTTTATGTTTTTTTTTTGCCTGCAGTCATTGCGTTGGTCTGTGGCTTACACTTTGTATAAGGTTAATATGATCACATGCAGCATTCAATTTCGTTTCTACATACGTACGAATTCAGACGCGCGCCTTGCAGACACGCGTCTAAATTACAGCCAGACAGACAGACAGACAGACAGACAGGACAGACGACAGACAGACAGACAGACAGACAGACAGACAGACAGACAGACAGACAGACAGAAGGACAGACAGACAGACAGACAGACAGACAGACAGACAGACAGACAGACAGACAGACAGACAGACAGACAGACAGACAGACAGACAGACAGACAGACAGACAGACAGACAGACAGTATAGATAGATAGATAGATAGATAGATAGATAGATAGATAGATAGATAGATAGATAGATAGATAGATAGATAGATAGATAGATAGATAGATAGATAGATAGATAGACGGGCGGACGGGCGGGCGGATGGACAGTGAACTT